CTTAGCTTTGTACTTGTACTCCACTCAACAGCAATAAAGTTGAATCTAATCTAATCTAATCTTTGGTATTTCTAGAGAATCCTCCTTCCTCATGATACCATCTATTTTCTGAAGTGCGCCGGTCCCTTTTCCAGCAAAACACCCCCACTACATGATGCTGCCACGCCCATGCTTCATGGTTGGGGCGGTGTTCTTTGGATTAAAAGCCTCACTTTTTTCCCTCCATACATAGTGCTCATTATGAACAATGGATCATTCCTTCTGACCGGAGAACACTCCTCCAAAAGGCTGGTGTTCTTCTGCAAACTTCAGTCTGGCTTTTTTATGCTGGTCTTGTAGTAACAGCTTCCTCCTTATATGACAGCCTTTCAGGCCACTCTCTTAATGGTGGATGTATATACTTTGGTACCTGAGTCTTCCAACTTCTTCACAGGTTCCTTTGTTGTTGTCTTGGTGTTCAAGACAACAAAGTTCTTTCATCCCTAGGAGTTAATTTGTGCCTTTTTCCTGAATCATGCAGTGTCTATGTGGTTCCAAGATTAGATTGCTTGGATTTTCCCATGTTATCAAGGCCAAAAAGACTCTAAAGGTAGGCCCTGTTACAACCCCATGTGCACTCCCAATTAACTCCTAATTATGACAATTGGCAAATCAGAAGTCATTAGATCAATTTCTGGAATCTCCCAGACTGTTTAAAGAGACAGTCATCTTGGTGTATGTGAACTTTTGACCCACTGGAATTCTGATATAGTGATTTAAAGCTGAAATCTGATGTGAACCATGAACCGTGCCCTAGTTGACTTGCCAAAAGAAATGTAGGGCAACATGAAATGTGTGGAGAAATGTGTGAAAAGCTGAGAGTGAATATCTTTAACCTAGGTGTTTGTAAACTTTTGGCCTCAACTGTAAGATAAGGAGACTTTTAGGGAATATGTGGCTTGTTGTTGTATAATAATCTAATCTAATCTAATCTAATCTAATATAGGTAGGTGGAAAAGCAAGGCAGAAAAGATGGGTTTTAATCATGTATTTACTTGGGGAAGGGTAAAAGTTGGAGAACTACTGTAGGTTACTGTAAAGAGGTTATTTAAATATATTTTTTATTTTATTTCAGAATTCTTAGAATGATGTTTTAGCCCAAAACTGAATTCTGCAACACAGAAAAACTGTACCTTACTAATGTGTATCTTCACTAATGATTGAATGCAGGGCTGCACAGTTATTACAGTGAGGGATCCAACTAGGAAGACTTACTATTATAGAAAATACAGCCTCATTCATTAAATCTTAGCTCAGCAATAATAAACTCACACTTCCTAGCCAGCACTCCCTGACTCCCGCTAGTTAGAGAGAACCGATCTGGCACAAACCCTTCAGCTCATACGTAATCTAAATTCTGTGAGGTCTTAAATTAAACACTTATAAATCACATCTTAAGCCTGCACACTCTTTCAGACAAAGCTTGCCTGCATTTACAATGCTTTATTAACTACTGACAGTTCCCGGGACCTGTTCCAGAGCTCCTGAAAAGGGATTCTTCTTCAGTGTGTGAGTATGGCATCTGAGGAATTTAAAAAGCAATTATTTAAAATTTACAGAAGTATTGGAGCTAACAGTTCTCACTTGAAACTAATTTAATGAATGTCACTTGTCATAACTTTGATGCAAGATAATTTTAAAAAATCTCTCTTTAAATATTATCAAGAAAAAAACTATGATTATATGTAGCATTAATTGTTATGAAGAAACTTCATCATACACAAGAATATTTGTCTGAACTAAACAGATTATGTTGCTAAATTTATTCATTCATCAATCCAATCCATGACAGAATGAGATGACAAAATATTTTCCTTTGGCTACTTTTTCTTTAGAATTCATGGAGATGCCCCACAACAGCAATTACAGAGGGAGCAAGAGAGAGTAGCAGAGAGAGTGTGTGTGTGTGTGTGAGAGAGAGAGAGAGAGAGAGAGAGAGAGA